TCTATTCCTGCCTGACTTGGAAGCTTCAGCTTTTGTTTGACAATTTTCCCGTTGTGACTCTGGCAATGAAAAATGTCTAAAAACTACGCAAACACCTTAGAGTGGTAAACAGTAACACAGACATTGATAAAGTCATATTGTAAATAGATTCCAGAGGGACTACCACAAAACACGCCCTACGTCGTCCACATCCCGATTGGACGACTTAGGGAAGTGTTGAATCTGAAACCCTTTAATTTGGGGGGGGGGGTTTCACCCCTATTATCTTTCTTTCTGTTTGGGATTGTGTCTGTTTGGAATTTCTTGAGAGCTCGACCAGCAAGAAGAAAAAACAACATGCATTTCTATCCATCACTGGCCACAGTGATTCGTGCAATAGTCTTCTTTCTGCTGTAATTGAAACCAATTAATTGTGTTACATAAGTAACGTTAGGACTGCAGCCCAGGCAGTGAATTAAAAGCAGAGACCGGATTCCTTCTAATTTCATCAGGCGACCTGGCATGTCATCAGTCAGATGGCAGAACCATATAGACATTCCCCACCCCCACGAGGACCTGAGAAGTTTGGAACTTTACCCTACGTCGCAACAAGAGTAGACAGACACTAAAGTAAAGCTGGCAGTTGGGCACGTTAGCGTTATGAATTAAGTGTACCAGAAGTAGTGCGATTTAAACCCAGACAGTTTAATTGTACATCTTGAAACACTTGTATCTTTTGTATCCCACAACAATCCCACACAAATTATGTGATTGTATATACTAGTGATGTGCGGATCGATTCTGAAATATCGATACTTCCGATTCTGGATCTTTATGCTCTAAAATCGATTCTGAAATCAAAATATTGATACTTTTGATACTTACGCATTCTGAGATGAGGTGTATCCTAAACAGAAACATGGTGAAAAGTATCCAAATTATTGAGATGTTGTCTAAGTGACGCTCGGTTGGTGGGACTACTTCTTCTTCCGCCTGGGTGTGTGCGTCATGCGTAACAGGGGCTCTACTCCGTGCTCCCACTCAGTCACTATTGATGGGAATTTCGGCTCTTTTTTGGAGAACCGGTTCTTTTGGCTCGGTTCACTGAAAAAATCCGACTCTTTCGGGTCCCAAATGGCTCCTCAGATTATTTATTTTATTTTTTTATTTATTTTTGTTTTACAAATAACATGTTTTCAGAGTTTGAAACATTGTTTTGACATATTTTATATGATTGTGTTCTCAAGGTTTTCTATTGTTGTGTTGACTGTATAGTAAATGAGGCAGCTACCTCAGTACACTCCAGAGTTTAAAATAAATAAATAAATAAAAACCTCAGCCTCGGATTCTTAAAGAAGCTATGATTTGAAATACACATTTTTTATTTAAAAGACAAATGATAAAATATCGATATCGGTATCTGCGATACCAGCCCGAATTTTACTCGGTATCGGATCGGAAAGGAAATTGGTGGTATCGAACATCACTACTGTTAAGTTTCTGTATTATTTATGTTCCACAAGTATATCAGGGGAGAGCGCGGACGCAGTCCCCCACTACCAGAAATTATGCAGTCGAGATTCCCACATTTGGGGAATTCGCAGGGGTCAGCACAGCCGGAGTGCAATGGCTAAGCCTCGCCCTGGGTGAACCACCTTCTTGATCATGGTATCTCCCCTGCCAGGTAAGTATGAGTTGTACACGGGTTACACTGCCAACCCATACACTCGGAAACCCTTCTTACTGATGGTGCTACCACCTGGAAACGCATTCAAACAAAGCACATTCAAGCACTACCACACCAATGTTATAATTTATAACAAAACATAAAATAAACACACACACACACACATATATATACAGAGAACGTAGTATGTTTAAAATGGAAAAAAGGAGGATTATTATTATGGAGGATTAAAAGAGCCACACTTTTAATAAGCAGAGTACAGTCTCGTGTTCTACATCAACTACACAGACAAAACACTTATATTCATTAGAACGAGCGGATAGTGAAATTTTTTCTGACCTGTTATAGGTTAACAACGTCACTATTGCTGAAACAACTCAGTTGGATACTTATATTTCACAATTTTAGGGGGTGCACCGTTCCTGGAGGTACTGCAATACCAGGTCGATACGCGGAGTGGACGGAGCAAGCCCCTATTCCATCTCCCAGATCCAAAAATCAATTTAATATATGGTCCCCGGGTAGGGGACGTATCAGATATTAAACTGATAAGAACAGATACTACACTTGATCTTAGCCAAAAGGCCGAGAAGCGATAACGACACACCCCTGCTCTACGCTCATACTCTCCCTCAATGTCGTTTTAAGTCATGGGTCAAATGTTTAAACGTTAGATAAAACTTAACCGTAGAATTAGCGGAGCCACATGTACAATTAATGACTAAAAAAGGATCCGCTATAAACATAGATAAAACTTAACCGTATAATGATCGAAGCTACAGGAACAACTGACGACTAACTCAAATAGGAGCCGCTGTAAACATACGTAGACAAAAACATTTCACGTTGCCAAATCGTGTCAGTTGTTGTAAAATACTAGATCCCTATCCATTCCAAAAAGTTGAGGACCGATGCTTACGATTACAAGTATAAATGCTCTGTCTCGTTCGTGCACCCGGAGGTAATTATAGACCAAAACACAATATATGTACGTCACAACAATACCGCAACAGTACACAAACTGTGCAAGTTTAATGTTAATACTTCGTCCAGTGACAAAGTCAAATGCAGCATTGGGCCCCTCTGCTGGTTCACTATTGTAACTGCACCACAGCGCATGATCACATGGACTGCTGTTAAGTAGTGATGTGCGGATCGATCCTGAAATATCGATACTTCCGATTCTGGATCTTTATGCTCTGAAATCGATTCTGAAATCAAAATATCGATACTTTTGATACTTACGCATTCTGAGATGAGGTGTATCCTAAACAGAAACATGGTGAAAAGTATCCAAATTATTGAGATGTTGTCTAAGTGACGCTCGGTTGGTGGGACTACTTCTTCTTCCGCCTGGGTGTGTGCGTCATGCTTAAGCACAGGGGCTCTACTCCGTGCTCTCACTCAGTCACTATTGATGGGAATTTCGGCTCTTTTTTGGAGAACCGGTTCTTTTGGCTCGGTTCACTGAAAAAATCCGACTCTTTCGGGTCCCAAATGGCTCCTCAGATTATTTATTTTATTTTTTTATTTATTTTTGTTTTACAAATAACATGTTTTCAGAGTTTGAAACATTGTTTTGACATATTTTATATGATTGTGTTCTCAAGGTTTTCTATTGTTGTGTTGACTGTATAGTAAATGAGGCAGCTACCTCAGTACACTCCAGAGTTTAAAATAAATAAATAAATAAAAACCTCAGCCTCGGATTCTTAAAGAAGCTATGATTTGAAATACACATGTTTTATTTAAAAGACAAATGATAAAATATCGATATCGGTATCTGCGATACCAGCCCGAATTTTACTCGGTATCGGATCGGAAAGGAAATTGGTGGTATCGAACATCACTACTGTTAAGTTTCTGTATTATTTATGTTCCACAAGTATATCAGGGGAGAGCGCGGACGCAGTCCCCCACTACCAGAAATTATGCAGTCGAGATTCCCACATTTGGGGAATTCGCAGGGGTCAGCACAGCCGGAGTGCAATGGCTAAGCCTCGCCCTGGGTGAACCACCTTCTTGATCATGGTATCTCCCCTGCCAGGTAAGTATGAGTTGTACACGGGTTACACTGCCAACCCATACACTCGGAAACCCTTCTTACTGATGGTGCTACCACCTGGAAACGCATTCAAACAAAGCACATTCAAGCACTACCACACCAATGTTATAATTTATAACAAAACATAAAATAAACACACACACACACACATATATATACAGAGAACGTAGTATGTTTAAAATGGAAAAAAGGAGGATTATTATTATGGAGGATTAAAAGAGCCACACTTTTAATAAGCAGAGTACAGTCTCGTGTTCTACATCAACTACACAGACAAAACACTTATATTCATTAGAACGAGCGGATAGTGAAATTTTTTCTGACCTGTTATAGGTTAACAACGTCACTATTGCTGAAACAACTCAGTTGGATACTTATATTTCACAATTTTAGGGGGTGCACCGTTCCTGGAGGTACTGCAATACCAGGTCGATACGCGGAGTGGACGGAGCAAGCCCCTATTCCATCTCCCAGATCCAAAAATCAATTTAATATATGGTCCCCGGGTAGGGGACGTATCAGATATTAAACTGATAAGAACAGATACTACACTTGATCTTAGCCAAAAGGCCGAGAAGCGATAACGACACACCCCTGCTCTACGCTCATACTCTCCCTCAATGTCGTTTTAAGTCATGGGTCAAATGTTTAAACGTTAGATAAAACTTAACCGTAGAATTAGCGGAGCCACATGTACAATTAATGACTAAAAAAGGATCCGCTATAAACATAGATAAAACTTAACCGTATAATGATCGAAGCTACAGGAACAACTGACGACTAACTCAAATAGGAGCCGCTGTAAACATACGTAGACAAAAACATTTCACGTTGCCAAATCGTGTCAGTTGTTGTAAAATACTAGATCCCTATCCATTCCAAAAAGTTGAGGACCGATGCTTACGATTACAAGTATAAATGCTCTGTCTCGTTCGTGCACCCGGAGGTAATTATAGACCAAAACACAATATATGTACGTCACAACAATACCGCAAGTACATTGATTATGTTATGGATAGAACCAAACACAGCAAATGCAGGTAAAAATAGGTTTTCTTTATCCCAAAATTCTTATTATTAACAAAAAATAAGTATAATTGGTGGATGGATGAATAAAACACGGTTCATGTTGGGCTTATCTACCAACTAACAGTTTGTATAGTCCAAGGTAATTATTTCTCCTTAAATGCTCGGCATGCCTCACCAAACAAGTACCTGTGGACAATGTCAAAGTTAACTATGGCTTTTTCCCTGAATCAGCATTTTTAACAGTACAATCATTTATTTCTTAACGGTAAAATATATGCCTTTGTTCTAGCTCGTAGTGGCTATCGTATCCATGTGGACCCTGATGGCAATGCCACACGAGCCATTTACTACAGGGAACAAGAGCTGGCAAATTTGGACCCAATCAAGCCTGCTTTTTTTAATGGCTGTGAGTGACCACTAAACGTATCATTTCAATTTAAAAAAAATTCAATTTAGGAAAGTAACACAATCATTACTCTGCATTACTAAAAAGGCCACTTACCATATCTCCTTGTGTTGTTAGGGGAAAATATGAGTGAGGTCAGCTCACTGAAAGACCATCCAGAACCCAGAGGCCATGGGAGTCGAACCCAGCCATTACATTTGGCTAGAGGTTTTGACCAAGCTGAAACTATGAGTACAATCAGCAGTGTTTCGCAACAGTGCCGTCGCCACGATGACTACCCATATCACAGCAGAGGCTACAAAGGTGATCGCCTTCGTGCCCATTCTATGGATGACCTGGACAACATTGGTCGTGGCTATAAAAGAGACGATGCTCCATATCACCCAGACAAGGCCAGAGGAAGAAGAGGGTAAACTTAATATATGGCAACTTTGCACCTTTCCTTTATGAAAGGAAAGGATGATAGTAATTATTCTTTTGATTCTCTCACCAGTGCAGCATATCACTAATGGTACTTTAAGAAACATGTGTACCATACTCATTTCTCAATTTCATAATTTCAGAGATCACTTTACTTTCCTCTGCTGACCTTTGCGTCTTTCCTCTGCAGTGCAGACCTTCACTTTTCCAGTTTTTCTGGAACCATTCTCTTGAATACAGATTACATAGCTATTCTCAAACACCTTTGAGGGGTGTTTGACACATTATTAATGGGTTGTCTCCAATCAATTAAAAATGACAAACAAAAACCCCCAACAATCATAAAAATGATTTTGACATTGCACCATGCACATAAACCTATATTGTCCTTCGTTCTGAGTGATTTGCGATCTCATTTTTTTTCAGAAGGTTTAACATGGGTGTATTTTGGTGGTGGTGTTTTAAAAACTGAGGGCTATTATGGAAGTCCACAAAACACATGTGGACCAGTTGGGCAAACTCCAATGAACCCACCAATGCTGTAAACAGCAGTGGTGGGAAACTGCTTCCCACTCCTGAGGCGCCGGATGGTTTGCCAGAATTCTTTCGAGGCCGACCGGTAGTCCTCCTCCATGGCATCCCTGAACTTTTCCCAGACCTGAGTTTATGTTTCTGCGACTACCCGAGCTGCAGTCCGCTTGGCCTGCCTGTACCCGTCGGCTGCCTCAGGAGTCCCCCGAACCAACCAGGCTCGGTAGGACTCCTTTTTCAGCTTGACAGAATCTCTTACCTCCGGTGTCCACCACTGGCTTTTTGTGGCGATTGCCACCACAACAGGCACCGGAGACCTTACCTTACCAAACCGTTACTAGCACAGACGTCCAATTACAAAACACCACTCGGATTCAGATCGGGGAGGCCGTTCCTCCAGATCATGCCCCTCCAGGTGTCACTGTCGCTGGCCATGTGAGTGTTGAAGTCCCCCAACAGGACGATGGAATCTCCAGCAGGAGCACTTTTCAGTACCCCTCCCAGTGTCTGCAAGAAGGCCGGGTATTCTACACTGCTATTAGGCCGAATAATTAGGCCGAAACAACAGTGAGACACCTATCCCTGACCCGAAGGCACAGGGCAGTGTTGGGAAAACTCCAACACACAGGCGAGCTAGGGAGCTATAAGCAAGCCTACACCAGCAAGCCGCCTCTCACCGCGAGTAACTCCAGAGTAGAAGAGAGTCCAGTCTCTCTCAAGGAGTTGGGTTCCGGAGCCCAGGCTGTGCATGGAGGTGAGCCCGACTATATCTAGCCTACTGGAAAGTGGGCTCATGTTGCTTTTTCGGGTCCCGTGGGCAGAGACCCGGCGACCAGGCGCTCGCCTGCAAGCCCTGGGCCTGGCTCCAGGGTGGGGCCACGGTAACACCATTCCGGGCGATGTAAGCTTCTTAGTTATTATTGTTACCATCATCAAGGGGAGTTTGAATCGCTCTTAGTCTGATCCGTCATCTAGGACCTGTTTGCCTTGGGAGACCCTACCAGGGGCATTAAGCCCCCGACAACATAGCTCCTAGATTCATTCGGATACTCAAACCCCTCCACGACCTTAAGGTTGCGATTCCAGGAGGGGATTTGACAGCAAACAAGTCTTAAAAGAAAGTAAAGGGAAATTAGAAATTAGATAATAAGATAAGACAATAAGATAAGATAAGACTTTATTCATCCCACACCAGGGAAATTCAGTTGTTACAGCAGCAGGATCGACATGCAATTGTAAAAGTTACAGCAGACAATAGACACAGTATTTACAATGTAAGATACAAATATCAAAACGACCATAGATACAAATAGTACTATGCATTATGAAGAATAATGCACAAAATAGAGAGAAAATCACGTAGATAACGCAAACACAATACAGAAAACTTGCGGGAAACGCGCACAGAAGTCGACAAACGTGAAGTGAACTAGTGAGGCGACGAGTGCTCGGCCACCTAGCTTCGACGTCTGTAAGCGTGCTCATATCTCAAATCTTTACTCGTATCTCAAAGCAAAGCAAAAATTTGCTCAAAGGCTTGCTCATGTATCGGAATACTCGTATGTCTGGACGCTCGTACCTCGAGGTTCCACTGTTCATTATATATGCATGTACTCTATATCTTAATATTACTGTATGAAATGTTTCCATCCAACCAGGGTATTTGTCTTAGGAGACAATTTGACTAAAGGAAACAGCTGTGTAGCAGAGATAAAACCTTAACTAACAGCAAAACGCTTTTACCAAGAAGAGCTTGTATAAAGTGAAAGTCAAACACCATTGAAAGCATGATACAGTCTAGTTATACTCAATCTTAAAGGTTTCTCCCAGACTGACGCAGAAAAACCAAAGAAAGATGTTTTTTATTTCTGTTTGAGAGTATCCAGTGGACTCACCACCCGCAGGAAGGTTTAGGGGGGTTGGTGCGGTGCAATGTGATTTGGGTGGCGACTGCTGCCCCCGCGACCCGGTAACGGATAACTGGATGAAAATGGATGGATGGATGGATGTTTGAGAGTAATACAAAGATGAGTATCTTCTGGCAGCAGTGATGCAGTGCTTGGTAGCCTTGTCCATCTAAATTAATTATTAATAAACCAAAATATCAGTACTCTATTTCTTGATATTAAATAAGTTTTGACCTAATTATTTTGCACTGAAATTAATTTCACACTCAGGTTTGACAGTGTTTCACGCCACGTGCATCTGCGCAATATCATAGTCAATGATTTCCATAAATGCATAAATTTGACAACTAGTGGTATCAGCACAAGAACTGTTGAGGAATATTTAAATAATAAGTTAGTCATAATAATTGTTTTTGTCATGATAATTCAGACACCATCATCATGTTCACATAGTCAAAACGGACGGAGCAGCCTGACGCAGGAGAATTATCCTACAGTTTTTGGTGATATGCCGTGTTTGTAGTCAAGCTGTAATATGCAAACTTTTGCTGGTAACCTTTGCATTTGACTTATTTCCCGTTATCAATTTTTGAGAAATGCTGCCACTGTTCGTCAATCTGTCTGTCTGTGTTCTGAAGACGGACAGTTACCCGTGTAACAGGTGTTCTGACAACACCACCATTAGCACTTAGCACTTTCCTCTAGTTACAATTTTCATTTCCCAAGTCCCAAAAACTGACTCTGAATTTAAGTTGTGCCAGAACGCATCGATCCATAAATCGACCAGTCGACTGGGAGATAACAGCCCAAGTAGCAACTGAGTTACTTGTAAAATTGTGTTGACTAAGTACCGATAATATTTATTTGTACCTAATTTGAAGAAAATATATACAGTGGGGCTTTGAAATACAAGCTACCCCAAAAAATATGAGTTACGAAATACGTAAGCAACTATTGCAAGATTTTCCTCTTGATATGAGTAAACATCGAGTTACAAGTGCTCAACTGAGCTCCACTCGACACCCTTTCTCTCTCTCTCTCTCTCTCTCTTTCTCTTTCTCTCCCCCTCTCTCTCTCTCTCTCTCTCTCTGTCTGTCTGTCTATCTGCAATGTAGGTGCAATGGGTCGAGTGCTGCTTAGGAGCACTCGGTGTTATCAACCAGTCTCAAATCAATAACACAAATCAGTCTCATCAAAGTTATCTGTAATTATTATGTTATCCTACTAATATAGCAATAATGTATTGCTTGAAGTATTACAAATATACTATAATCAATAGTATTCAATAACAAATATCTAAAGGATTTTCTGGGGTTCTTGGCAAATTGGGTGGCTTCAATGAATAAAGTAACAACACAGACAAACACAGTTTACAAAAATGTCTCACTCTCCCTTTCTCTCTCTCTCTCGCTCTCCATCTCCCTCTCCTTCTCCTTCACCCTCTCCCTCCCCATCTCCCTCTCTCTCTCCCTCTCCCTCTCCCTCTCCCTCTCTCTCTCTCTCCCAGTCCTTCTCTTATGCTTAGTGGCCAGACACTCTGTCTCACTCTCTGTCCCTCGCTTGGTTATTTCACCCATTTTTATAACAATATTATAAAATGTTTTCTTAATTATTGTTATTTTATATGATGATTATATTTGTTTTTTGACACTTAAATGTAAAACCTTTCCTCAGTACTAACTGTAATTGTCCATGTTCGTGTTGCCTTATCTTCAGTTCAGATGAGTGGACTAACAGTGCCAGAAGCAACTGCAGCAGTGACTACAGACGTCCTGACTTTGACACTGACCGACATAGAAAAGGAGAAGAGAGACCCTACTATGGACCTCGAGGGAGACAAAGTCGCAGCCGTGATGATCTCATGGACATGGAGAGGGATCGGCACTATGGTGGTGCCACCAAATCTAGACAAGAGGAATATGATGACATGTTCTTAAGAAAGGCAATGGAAAAGAATAAAATCATCAAGCAGGAACAGGCATGGAGCCAGGAGAAAACCTACCCAAATTGTGGTCCACCACCCCTCCCTGCAAACCCACCTGCTGGACACCCATGTCGTCAAGAAAACCTTCCTTCTCTTGCTCCACTATCATACATTGAAGATAAAGCAAAAGGGAAATCTAATCTTTCTAAGGTAAGAAAAAAGTAAATATATATTAACAAGTAAATATATTGCTTACTACTTCTAATTATATAATTGTAACATGTGCTGGCAGAACTTCAGCAAGTGGCTCTGGGTTCTTGATTTTGTTTTGTTTGTTTGGTATATTATTTATGTTTTTTCAAACATCGAGCCTACAATCTCACAATTCGATTGGATTCTTAATGGCACAATTTGATTTGATATTGATTCAATATTAATCTAAATCTTCTTCAATAGAGTCAAGATTCAGTAATCAGGATTTGTTAGTCGTTTTCCCCCATGAGAAAGGATGAAATTATAGATATAATTTTTACTCTAATAAAGAAATATAAAAATATAGCAGTGCAAATGGCATATGGATTCAGTATCAAATACGTAATAAGAGTGCCAAATTACTGTTTTAATAATTATTTATTTAGTTCTGTGGCCATATGGTATAACAGCACAATAATACTAATACTGAATATGGTGAACAAAAAATAAAAAATGGGTCTTTGGTGGAAAGTACTGTGTAGTTTGCTGGTATTTACAGTATAGCTTGGGGCCACTGGGAGGCATTGGTCACAATGCAATCAGATAATCTAAATACCAGCAATAATAAGCAACCAAGGAATCACTAAATTAAGCAGATTTAAGTCAATTTGCATCAAAAAACTGTCAATGCAAAAAGTAAACAACAGTGAATGTTCTGGCTTTTCATCAACATAACCAGATATGGACCAATATAAAAGGCAGAAAACCATAAACATGTCACTTACTGCTTTATGCACACACACTCTAAAACTAATAATATAGAAATAGAAATAGGAACAGCAACTCTTACAGTAGCAGCAGGCTCCTCCACACTGCATCGAGTGACTCTGTAGGTACCCGTTTCCAACAGCAGGTGGCTGTTCTCTGCTGAACTTATTCTTCAATACAGTGGGCTTGAATAGATTCAATCAAGTGCTGAATTGATTAGATTTTTGTTTCATTTAAAAGAAAATTTGATATTAGATATTTTTTTCAAACAACTTAAGATCATTAAATAAAAAAAATTAAATGGCAGTGGATTAAAAGCTCTTTAATTTACCGTAGGATTGCAACAATTATTCAGTACTCTTGCATGTAAACAGATGTACAGTGGTTTCCTTGACTATATTTTTTCTTTTTTTTTTTTTTTTACAGGATGGAGCTGTGAGCCGAGAGAGCCTGGTTGTGTAACAAAAATAGTAAAAAGGAGCCAATGGTTTCAGAAACCAAATGTTGCTGTTAATTCTAATCTTCTGTGCTTTTATATTACATTTTTTACTTTGGGCAACGAACTCCAAATTAAACAATTTATAGGAGAATGACAGTATCCATGTTCAGTGCATTTGTCCATGTTAACTTGTAAAAACATGTCCATAGTTTGTTTTAATCTTGTCTTTAATGCGTATGAAAATCATATTAGGTTGGGGTTTTCTATTTAATTGTTTTTTACATATACTGTATATACAAAGCTCTATAGGAAAACATTGCTTTTGGGTTTATTTGGAGGATTTTTTTTATTGATGTGCATCTTGTTTTTTTCCCTTCAAGTTTTTATATACTGTACATTTCAATAAAAAGAAGGCATTCAAATGTTTTTTTTTTTCCAAAAAGACTGATTGGTTCTTCAGAACACCTTTTTATTTTTATTTTTTGACATTATTCTAATTCCTGCGAAAAACAGTATTTTTTTTTCTTTTGTTGCCTTTTATTTCTCTTGTCCATGTATAATTTTTTCAATAAATCACTCATCAACTCGTCTTCATTATCACATGCAGAAGTAATTGATGGCCTAATATAAATATATACACAGTATATATACACTTAAGCCCAGAATAATTTTGGACAGTGTGATTTTTTGTTTTTACCCTGTTAAAGATGTTTATTTACACTTTCTATCTTAAATAAATTGGTTATGGCTTCAGACTTTTTTGTGTGTCCTATTTAAGTAAAATCTGAAGTGATATACAAATGTGTAACTGTAAAAATTAAGAAATTCTTTGTATTTGACAGGGGGATGAATACTTTTGGGCTTAAGTGTATATTATGGCATGCCAGTCAGGAAATTAAACAGTCTGAATATATATACATAAAGTATGAATATATATACACCAAGTTTGAATATATATACAAAAATCCTGAATATATATATACATAAAGTATGAATATATATACACCAAGTTTGAATATATATACAAAAATCCTGAATATATATATACAGAAAGTATGAATATATATACAAAATTCCTGAATATATATACAAAAATATGAAGACTATTTGACCACACTACCCTTATCGGGCCGGAGCTACGCCTGCAAAACCGGCAACGCTCCTGTATATATGTAGCAAAGCGACACAAGCAGCTTGGATATGAACCTCTTTTTTTATTCACTCTTCGTTACTTCTTATCCTTTTTTTTTACAGACCACGCTTCACTCGCAACGCAGAAGTAAGCATGAACAATCGAATACAAATTAATATTTTAAAGAGAACATACTACACTGCGTCATATGACAGCTTTCAAATAAAATATCTTCAAATAAAGTAATCATATATACATACATACAAATCTTTGCATTACCCCCGCTCTTTTTGCTCTTTCTGTAAGACACAAGTTATCGATCGTCACAGCACACTGGACAGTGTTATCAAATAATCCCGCTCTTTTTGCTCTTTCTGCAAGACGCAAGTTATCGATTGTCACAGCACACTGGACAGCGTTATCAAATAATAACATATAGAAATAATATAAAATATTTCCAAAGAAGTATTTCCAACAAACTATAAGCTTTTTATCACCCTTAAATTAACATTACGCTACTCTGAATCCCTCATTGATTCAGTGAGCTTAGATTGTTAACAATTTTATGACTGATTTTATCTGTTTTTATTCTGTTAAACGTATTTATTACATTTTCTGTTACACAGCATTCACTATTTTCTTTTGTAATACTTGGGTTACAAATATAACCATGACATTTGTAGGGGCTATTTTATGGGGATACCAGCCGCCTGGTCGGTGGTAGCAGGCATAGCTCTGCCACAATTGGGGCATTGTGCTCAAAAGGGTTTACATTTTTTGTATATACAGTATATACAGACTATATATTCAGACTTTCTGTGTGTATATATACATATAAACTTTCTGTATATATATTCAAACTTTCTGTATATATATTCAGACGTTTTGCCCATTCTGTGTCCTCCTTGTGCATGAGTTATTGTAGTGGAGCCATAAGCGCACTACAGCTAGGAATGAACTTCATGAGGTAATTAACCATCCCGAGAAATCTCTGTGAATCTGTTTCACTGTTTCACTGTTTGCTTTTGTTTGTTTTGTTTTTTTTTTAGAAATGTCTGCTTTGAGGTTGTCCTGAAAGAAATATGACCAACATAGGCGACTTGAGAGAATTGATTTTCAGGTTCTCTGGCATGGTGGAGCACTTTTCGCAAGTTGGCATCATGTTTTCACACGTTTTTACCTCCCATGAGTACAATACGTCATGGACCAAAGTAGCACAAGGAAAATCTATTTGTTGGATGGCTGGAAAACCTCACTGGCAGAGTTGAGTTCGAAAGGCTTTTGAAGAAATCTGTACTGACCTAAAGTACTGCTGAAGGTGGTTAACATTGAGGATTTGTGGTCATGTGTTATTTGCAAAAATGTATTCTTTGTCTAGAACTGAGAATACAGTTGCATTTGACAGCCACCTTCTCTATAGTGGGGTGATGTGGTCTTTTTAGAACTGTGTTAGGGTCCCTTTAATATTTGCATATTTACATCTCCTTTTTGTAGTGGCTATTGATGGACACCTAATCTATGCCACTTAGATCCTAAAGATCTACGTGGTATAGATCTTCAACATAAAGTGATTCCATCTTTTCCAGTGTTATACTGATGACCAAAAGATGGACATTTGTCTATTTTGTATATGCCTCGTGCTCATGCTTTTGCTAGTGTGAAGTCACTATCACGTAATAGCCTTTTCGTTGGATGTTTTTGCTTTAATTCGTTCGCTGATTAGATCTGTCAGGTAAGTGGCTCAGTTGTTCTTGCTTTGTAAAAAAAAATCCTTTGAACAAAGGTACAGTGGACTGCCTAGAGTTTAAGCTGTTCTACAACAGCAGAGGTGTCTTGATCCACTCGTATCTAGATCAACTATTCCCAATTAAAAATAACTTAAAGCCAATTAATTAGTCCCAGAAATAAACTATTAAAAAATGTTAACAAAATTGGGTAAAATAATTAAGCGAGGGACAGTGACTCGTAACATGGAATACTTGTATTTCAGGAAGCTCGTATCTAGGGTGTCTGTACTAGAAAGTTCTGAAATTCACTACTTCTGACACTGTTTCATGTTGTTAATCATTCAGCACTAAAGGGCTGTGTGTGTATTTGGAGATAGGGGTTGAGGGGTTACAAACAAGGGAACACACAGAAAGAATCATGACTAAAGATGACGAGCGCAGTTGCTGCAAAGACTAAACCCTGCTCTGAGTGACTAGGCCATTCTGAACCTAAAAGAAAAGACGCTCTGCTGATTGGCTACATTGACGTTGCCCATAAGCAGTCTCAACTGATTTTCTCACTCTCGGCAGCTTTCCGTGACACACCGTACCCTGGGAACCCTCCGGTCACCGGCCATCTTGCTGCTTCACTCCCCACCTTCAGCGTTCATGGGCTGAAGTAGTTGCCTACAGCAAAACGTGCCTCAGCACCTTAACCAAGACCGGCTCACCATCCCTCCGGCTCTGAAATTATCTCGCATGGGGGATGGTGATTCGGACGATTGCCGGAACCGAAGCTCAGTCTTGGCCCTGATGGCTGCTACAGCTCCCTTCCAAAGAAGACCGGTGCAGCCCCTACTGCTATCCACTCCAGTTTCCATGGACTCCTTGACCGCTCCCCCTCCTCTGCCAGACAACATGACGACTGTCACTGACGACGACAGAGTAATTCAGCCAGTGCCTTGGATTATAAGATGTCTTCCCGCTCCACAACTTCCGTCTCGCGCCGGAGGCTTCTGAAGGAAGCAGTACGGAGGCACTCTGGGGCTCTTGCCAGCTGCCGGGCACATGATCCTACTGCCAGGGCTAAGGTTGCTCTGGGCCCCACTGGCCGCCACTGCCTGGAGCATACCCAGGCTATCCCAGGGATATCCCCTTCTCTCTCCCCCTGCTCGGAAGCTGGTGCTGCGTTCTCTTAGGAGCTTATCTTCCCCGACACACCAATACATTGTGGAAGGTATGTTCGTACAGGCTCTCAGGGCCCCCACTAACCAGAAAGACCACAATCCCTTTTTCCGCCCACTACTGCAATAATAGGCTATTCGTCAATGTCATAACCCATTGCATTCACATTACCCATAACCCATGTCACTGTCCCAGTAATCTTAGCTGTGCTTCCTGGTCTGCTGCGCTCGCTTCCATCCTCCATCTCCCCATTGGTGATACCCGTAGGTTCAAATGACATGACCAGTCAGAAATACTAAAAAAGGACTTTTCAGTCTTTTCAAATCTTGTGAGAAGATGTCTTCATTAGTGGGTCTTTCTGCCTCTGATCCATTGATCTGAGCGTTTTAGCGTCCTGAAGCCAGGTGTCCACTTAACACCTGGCTTCAGACCGCAACTTTAGTTTCATTGACAATTTTAATCTGATTTGAAATGGTCCGATCCTTTTTAAAATTAACAGAATCAACCTAAACTCCATAGGCAGCCAACTGCTTGCGGCAAACACACCATTCATACAACCCCACCTGCGTGACTGTTTACCTGGGCTCGCCCTCTCACTATACTTCATGCCGTAACCCCCCCGTCCCACACACAGGTATCAGCAGGTCATTACCTCTCAATCACAATCACTATCTAGCACAGACATCCACACCTGCTTGACGTGTTTCCTCCCCATCACTACATCCTGCCTATAATTTTGAACAAACCCCCTCTGATCCGGACTGGTGGTAGAAAACCTGATCCATATTAAACCACAACCTTCTTTCCCATCATCATTAACATCATCATCCAAAAAAACTACATCAGCAAAGACCTTAAACATGGCACTTTTTAATGTGCGCTCTCTTTTAAGACTTTTACTGTGAATGACCTAATTCTGGAGAACAAGATTGACTGTTTGTTTTTATCAGAAACCTGGCTGAACACTAACACACCTGTTTTTCTCACCAAGGCCTCTCCTCCTGATATTACTTTTTTATATTCCATTAGGACAGACATAAAAGGTGGTGGTACTGCTTCAATTACTGGCGACATCATCAGGAGACATGGTGTTAATTTCCATAGCTTTGCTGATGATACACAGCTCTATATCGTTGTGTCTCCTGAGGATACAAGCCCTTTGGACAAATTAAACAACTGTATTTTAGATATAAAATCATGGATGGCGGAGAATTTCCTGCATCTCATCCAGGACAAAACAGAAGTCTTGATTATTGGTCTTGAGGCTATGAGAGAGAAACTTTTAGCAAGATTATACAATCTCAAACCATCACAGTGTAGGCCTGGGCCTCACCTTTGACTCTGAGTTAGATTTTATTCCTCACATAACAAATCTAAACAGAATAGGTATCTACCACCTCAGAAACATTGCTAGACTCAAATACGTAGGTGTTGATGCATGCTTTTATTTCCAGTCACATTGACTACTGTAATGCCCTGCTTTCTGGTCTTCCCATAAAGAGCATCATACCTTTACAACTACTCCAAAACTCAGCTGCACATGTGCTGACGAAGACTGGAATGCGG